ATGTCGGAGAAGTCACCGACGAGGCGCGGCGTTAAAAATAACAACTGGCGGTCACAAGACGTTATAAAACGCGTTTTCAAGCACAGAACGAAAGAATTATTGATCATAAATGTGTTCTCTCCTTCCACATATCGAAACTTCACTTCTGTTTAATTTTTATCTTAGTTATCATATCCCTTCTTTCCACTTAAAGAGCACGACTGATTTAAGCCATTATTCACTAACAGATAGTAAAGCTGAAATTACTTAAAAAAACCTCTGGTCTTACTTAAGATTGAACAACTTAACCCTTTCAGGAGTTAGCAAGTGATGGCCTGTTCCTGTATTTTATCATTATATTCTAACCCTTTATATTTTCCCGAATTTATAACTTGTGTTGGGCAAGGCCGTGGTCTAGGCAACACGGAGTTTTCCTCCGTGGCATCCCAACAATTACTCCATTCACACACAGAAGAAGGCAATGGCAAACCACTTCTGCATCATCTGCCAAGAACGTATATGAACAGGTCCCAGTCCGAGAAAAGGATGGAAGGATCCTGTTCATATGGACCTGTCGTCAGACAGAACACTAAATAAATAAATAAACAAATAGAAACACGTCCCAGAACGCATTTGTTCATAGCATACTGGACTCATCAGCTTCGGGTCACGAAATTAAAACCTACCAAAGTTGATCATTTGTTTCTACTCCTGCAGCTGTTATGATATTATGTTACATCATACAAACAATTACTCTATCACCCACAGATTACGACTGGCTGTGTGCTAGGGTCCACCTCCTTGTACTTTTTATTCAGTATAAAATTTCTGATTCGGAGTTCGCCTTGTGCTCTGTTGTGTCATAAATTCGGGCTAATACCATAAACGCAACACGCAAGAGGAAAAAGGTACGGAACTCGTGTAAGACGAATAGTATGTTTGTCTTTTCGCCTACGCACCAATGGCTGAGTCACAAGCGAGAGAGTTAAATTAAACACCCACATGTTCTTAATTTCGACACTTCATGGAGCTAAGCAGCCAGCTTCACGTTCCAGCCGCTTTACCCCTTAAACAAAAACCACCCGTACCACATACAGAACGCCATACTGGTAAATTACCAACGTTTCAGAGGAATACCACGATCTACCGTCAACATAGACCCACACAGCCTTTTGATCTTAAGAAGCTGATGGTCGCTCAGCTTCGTAAGTCCCTACAGGAAGTTTCGTTATAATATTCACAAAAGTGCGCCGTTAAATCTTACGCTGAGCCACTTCAATCCAGTTTACACTTTAACGTCCATTTTAATATTATCCTCTAATATATGACTATGTTCCTCAAGAGGTCCCTTCCCTCCTTTTATTTCGTCATCTAAACAATATCTGGTGTACAGTCAAAAATCAAGAAGTTCTTCATGTGTAACTTTCTCACGCTTTGGTCAAAACATCCTCTTAAGTTCACTGTTGTCAAAGACCCTAAATCTTGCACTTACTACTAGAAAGTACGACGCTGTGCGTACATACGAAATAATAGCAACATATCTGCATATTTATGTTACGATGTTGTTGCCATTTCATAAAAATGTATAATGAATATATATTTTAAATCTTGTCCGTCTAATCACAATAAATTCTTATTAAATATTAAAATATTACAATAATTAACATTTAAAATATTTAAAAATATCAAATGATGTTCTTTATCGAAATATTCGATTTACATTAGACAATCATTTTTTCACGACATGTTTCAGTTCCTAAAAGAACTATCTTCAGGTCTAACGTAAATCGAATATTTCGATAAAGAACATCATTTGATATTTTAAATGTTAATTATTGTAATATTTTAATATTTAATAAGAATTTATTGTGATTAGACGGACAAGATTTAAAATATATATTTATTATATCACAATATGACGCAACTTTACCATCTCATGTATAATGAAGTTGAATTACATTACGGACCGTGCAAATGTAACATTAAAATTAAATGCATATTATCAACTTATACAACGTTACCTCATAATTATATATATAAATGGACGCCAGTGCTTTTCATTTGTCTTAAAAGACGTCAGATTCCAGTAGAATTGTCTTCGAGCCTTACCTCTCGGTGTCATCATTAAATCCATAGTCGCCCAGGATCAGGTCTCTCAGACCGAATCTAGGTAACAACGGAGGACCGACGATATTTTCCAGGTCTGCCGAAGACGTCATCGTCGTGACGCTGTTGCCGTCACCGTCTTCTGACAAGATCCCTCGAGCGGCCAGATGGACCAGCTCTGTGTCCTCTGCAGCAGTCTGCCCGCAGGGGCGAGACTTGTTCAGGGCGAACAGGTTTCTAGTTTCGTGTCACTTACAGAATCAGAAATGACTGGAGAGCACCGAGTGACGTCACGCGGGCAGTTGCTACGAAAACTCAGAAGAGATGGATCTTAAAGCGAGTGTAGTGGATCGTGGATACCGGCAGACAGACACGAAAATTTCGCCTCGAGGTCTGTCTACATCGGACGCCCACTCAGGCGGGCGTCGGCGCAGGGCGAGTGAGTAAAGCCGGTTGCTAAGCGACGAGTAAAGGAGTATACTAGTTTGTAAACAACGAAACCTGGAGAGAGGAAGTCCGGCTGTCGTTACCGGCGAGATCAGAGATTAGAGAGGCACGGAAAATGGAGCCTTGTCATTCGACACCCGATACAGCCTAAATGCGTACGAATTACGAGCAATACAACATATGACCACTATTAAATACGTAAGCACTTCTCATTCAAAGCAAGCGATTTATTTTTAATGTCTTCATTTGTGTCAAGTGTCGCTGTATCACTCAACAGTGTACTTTTTTGTTCTCGCTGTAAAACACAATACTTCTGAAATACACAATGCCCCACCCATTTGATTAACTGTGGAATTACCGACTCCAAAAACTCCATAAAACGGTTGGCTTACAAAGTGTGACGTATATGCACAGTAAAGACCACGTAACTGGCTGTACGTGTTTCCCAAACTTTAACCTAAAAGCACAACACTGATAGAAGAAATTATTATCAATTATGACTTACCCTGAAAGTCTTTGCTGGATATCTGTTCCAATAAACCGATCACAAATCTTGAGCTGACGAAGTTGATACACTGTAACTATAAAACCACACGAGAAACTCCACAAAACCGCACTCTCGCCACACGCCATCTTTCACTGCAACTGAGTACCAACATGACAAACCTAGCGGTGCAAAATTTAAAATCGTTCGAGGAACACGTCAAAAACATAAGTGTATCATTTTACGTAGCGATGTCATTAAAGGCCAGTCTGCCATATTTATTTTTAAAATGTAAAACCAAAGGTTCGCGTCTTTACTATTTTGGTAGTTACCATAGAAAATTTGTACAGAGTGTAATTTAAAAATCATTTACAAATGTAAGGTTATATTTCATAAACACAACGAACATTTGACGGTGAACACGGGTCCGTAAAAGCTTCACGTCCTAGTTACATCACTCTTTTTCTTTCAGTGATTTCTGACACGGCATTTCCTTAAGTTACCTTTCCTGAGCTAGGCACGGAAATATCATATCAATTGCTTAAAATGTCTTTCATTAGCCTCTGGCCCTCTGTGATGGTAATGTCTTTAGGTACCATCACGTATTTGCTGACTAACCAACATCCAGCCATTTGTCCGACTAACCTAAAAAATTAACACAAACTTACAGAGCTCAATGGCAGTATTCTCGAGACACCTGGTCGAATTTCAACAGAACTACGTGTTCTAAATGAAGTTTCCTGTGCCAATTCTGTCTCTCTACGCATGTGCCAGGATATGAACATAATACAAATAGGTCACTATCGCTTTTTCCCCATTTTCTGTCTTTTTTAAATCATTATCAAGTTAATCTACTTTTGACTTAACATAACTCTGTGATGATCTTGCTAACCATCTACCTCTCCTCTCCATTTTACCTTTGAACTGAGAACTGAAAAGGTGACAGTATACTTCTGCACAATGGAAATGTTTCATTTTAACTTCTAATTTTAAGTATATCTTATATTTTGAGGCAAAATTCCAGATACATGTCAATGCTGTTAATTTTTTGTGATTTCTAGCTCTCCAATAGCAGGAGTTCCGAGTTTTCATGTACGAATTCATAATTAATCAGGATGCCTGCGCACATTTTAACATTCTGATGTTGGCCATGGCAGGTGCGAGTTCTTTGGGGATCATCTACTTCACTACAGATTGGAAGTTACTTTCTAGGTCTCAAGATACAAAATAATCTATTATGATATTAAACAATCACAAGTAAAGTCACAGAAAGAATTTGCAGTTGGTTCATCTGTAAATTTAATGATAAATACAACTAACAAACTTGGCCTAAGCCTATTCCATAAGACCTTGTAACGCTGACAGTTATTCGTCTGCTCAGGAAGTTCTGCGCCTTTCATGGAACTGGGAAGATCACGCGTCGTTGAAGTTCACGAGCACAGACGACGCGACCACGGCTTGCCGTAGACCGACAACAGCAATCAGACCAGTGAACATAAAAGCTAAGCACTCGATTTAATAAACCAACTCCTTCGCAATTAACGTGTTACATAAATATGTTTTTTTTTAAAGTACGTACCTTTTATGCCGTGTTAAAACCATAAACCTTTTGATTTGTATTATAAGAATTAACTTGTTTTGCCACTGATGATGAGCTCTTGAGGTCGAAACGTGTTCGGCAAAAGCGTCCTTCAAAGCGTAAACAGTTTTGTTTGTATGCATGATTTACATTTCATATTAGTGTGAAATGCCAAAGATGTTACTTGAAGGAATTAACTTTTTCTAACCAAACAAAATTCTAGATGTTTGTTAATATCTCAGTGTTACACCAATATTTTGCTTGTGCATAATGTATTGCATAGTGTCAGAATTATTTGTCATATGTAATGGGTGTCAGTTTGCAAATTTGGAATTGTGCATGTTTTCTGTGTTATATTTAGTGTTTAATATTTTAATTATAATGATCTCTTATCTGGTGGCGAATAAGCAGATAAATGTGAACATGAGGAAATGTACGTAATATAATGGAATTAACTTTGTATTAGCAGGTACGCATGTACGTGACAAGATCTCTTTAAATGCTAAACCTTTTCCTGAAATATTACTTTGGACGGCCTGGAACCTTATTACGACAAATAGAAACGACTCGTTTAAATATGAACAAAATAAAATGAGATGACGCCCGTCTTTCGTTGCAACACCGTTTCTCGCTACGACACGTTCAATTAAAATCACGAATATAAGCCGTGGTGATTAAGCTGGAAGCAGAAGAAATTCAGTCTGTAATTTGAGTGAGAAGTGCGGTGCCCCTACGAATCCAATGACTTTCTTGCCGACTGCTCGGTAGTAACACGGCGACAAGAAAATTTGTGCTATGACCTGTTGTTGACAGTATACCTGCACGAACTGATGTTTTATACAAAGGCGTTAGATACCAGATTCCATGACGCTCTATTTTGGATTTTGGTAACATGTGCATTGCTGGTAGCGGTGGATTGATCTCACCTGCAGTTTAAAAAAATGCCAGAATCATTAACAAGAAGACAATCAACACTGACGTAACTCAGTAACCTAACACGACGTCCCACTCCTGAAATTAGAACATAACGTTAAAAAGAAACCACAACTTTAACACGACATTTGGCTATGATTGAAAATGAAACTATTTTCTTACCAGGATTTGGATCCACAAGAATCTTCTGCTCGTTATCCCATCGTCCTGCATCCAGGAACAGTCCGTGAACAATGACGCCATCCTCTGGTTGTACAATGCCCCTATATGCTTCTGGTACCTAAATAAATCAAATTACAAATGAGTTATTTAAAAAAAAAAGTTAAGAAAGATATACACATAAAAACCAAAGGGAGAAAAGCTTAATGAGGCAGAGTTATGAAACACTTGCACGAGTACATTGAGCACAAGACACACAGCCTCTCACTTTAATATTGACACATAATATAAATTCTATGAGGGAACATAATTGTTCATTTCGGATTATTAAAGGGTATCTAAGCATAATCTGTACGTTAGCAAACCAAGACCTGTCCTTCATTCAGTTCACATCTCTTGTATAATAGTTTAATAGCACGGGGAGAAAAACTAAGTAAAGCAAAGATAAGCGAAAAAGAGTGAATGTACGGGAATCCAAATCATAATCCGTTGGAACAATGTCTGAACAAGAACATTTTGATTTTACAGTAACAAATAAAGAAATTAAATGGAGCGAAGATGAAATTAATGACAGGCATTCTTAAAAAACCTGAGATTAATGGTTATTATTTCTTATAAGATAAAATAATTATAAATGGACAGAGATGATTGAGATGTACAGGGAGAATGGAAGAGTGAAGGTTTACAAAAGTACATATAATATTTTTCAAAATGAGGCAAAATAAGAAACAGGCGTACTTTAGGATGAAGTGAAAAACTCGTTGTGGAGTAGCGTAAGCATAAACGGTTATCTGTATAAATTGACTAGCTCAAAATAGCTGAATTCAAGAAGAAAGTGCGAGTCTTCCAATTCACTTATCCTCCACAAGAATAGCTACAATTAGGTGGCCGCCATCTTTCGCATCGCACACTTATTACATACAAATGAATCATTCTCCATACTCTCATCCTTAGCATTCTTGCTGCTACAGTCTAATGCGTAGATTTGGTTTTTGGAGTTTAACCACGATCTCAGCAAATATTGCAGTTGCCATCTTCAGAGAGTCAGCGGAACGGAGGTAAACGGAGGCATTATATAGGTCTGGGCAGTGGGAGCTAGTCACATGACTGGGACACTGTCCAATGGGGAAGTCCCCGTAATTATAATGAAAGAGGATGATATTGCTAAAAGCCAAGTATATTCATCTTACTTCACACTGATCATTCTCCATGTGAGCAGCATATATATCTTTTTGGTCCAAAATCACTTCCAAGACCACGAAGTCAAATTTCAGTTCATCGATTGCGAGATCATATTTGCGAGAATGTGTCTGAAGAACAGCAGTAAGAAAACTTCGTGGAAAGTAAAATCCAGACAGCCAATAGGAAGGAGGTGCTCGTCCTCTCACCCAAACCTGAAAGAAGGAAAGTATCAGCATTACACGTAAAATGTGTTAAAAAATTTCAGCTGGAATTATGGAATGGCAAAAGATCAGTACATTTTCAAGTCGACAGAGGAATATACTTACTATAAAAAAAAAAAAATTAACTCCATGTAGCGGAGTTGTTCCTGAGAAGCTAATAATACATTCAGCTTCTCAAGACATTTTCTGTCTCTTATGCAACCTGAAAGTCCAATATCATGTTCACAACAGCCTGCCATTTCTCCCTGTCCAAAGCCTGAAGAATCTAATCCACATTCCATAATCCGCATTCCCCGAGATCCATTCTAATATTTCTTCGGTACTTGTGGGTTATCGGGACACATCGCTTTAAAAATGGGTTAGGTTGTTATGAAAATATATTTCAGTGATAGAGTGAAATGGAGGTGCGGTAAACAATCTTGCAGAACAACGACCTAACCTAACCTAACCTATTTTTAAAGCGACGTGCCCCGATAACCCACAAGTACCATTCCTTCTTGTGTTTCTGATTATTTCCTCCTTTGCCTTGTAATACAGAACAATATAATAACATTAAATGTCCCTGCTGCACTTCGCAAACTAAACCACAGTCTATATGAAGGACGTTTAAAATAAGGGGTCTGAAAATTATAGGATACAGTGAATATAAACAGTTGATTTATATAATGTAATACATACTTTTACACAATTAATATTCTCAATCTTTATTCATCACTGCAAATGACAAATTGTGCCTTTCAATCATCTATCCGTGTTAATGTCCGCACATATTCAGCTTTATACGCTACTGTAGAAGTGCTTACGTTACCTTTATGAAATCGAGCCGTAGCTGCAGGTCCTGCATCCAGCTCCCCAAACTTTTGAGAGACGGATAAGAAATTGCTCCCCACATCTTCGGAACCTGTAAAAGATTCAAATTTATTTAGAACCCAGTACATTTGCAACAGTAAGTTAACGGCTTCAGCCGTGGATCTCGTTTGTTTTGGCACGCTCTCAGTTAGTTATTAAACGTACCGTCAAACAAAGCAACTTCAACCTAAGCGAGTTAATCTAAATTTAAATTAAAGACCCTAAAATAAACCCAATATGCAATACTTAATATCCTTTAATTTTATTATAAATACCTGATTGTTCAGACATGACTTGAAAAAATCTTCCATTTCCTCAGACATAACAACAAGTCCTTTGATGGCCTTCTGTAAGCTACGCAAGGATTCGCAAACCTTTGTGAGTAGTCTGTTGTATCGATCTACTTCTTGAAACAAAACTGCTGACAGTGATGGTATACGACCTTTCTCATCACGCTATAAATGAAACACGGGCTTACACTTAACTGTTTTGCATTAAAGACATTCAGACAAGAAAGAAAAATATGATATAATAAGAAATAACACCATAATACACATTAAAATACAGCGAGAAAATTCTTAAAAAATTATTTTCATGAGAATCAAACAAACTTAGGAGTAAAATAAACCACAACTTTTAAATTAATTCAATTCATTTATTTAAGTGTTTGCCAATAGCAAGAAGCCAATAACAGGCAAACACTGATAATACATACATATAATAATAAGATAATGATGAAAAATATTACAGAAACAGATTAGCTAAATACGAGGCTCGTCCACAAAGTAAGTTTCCCTGGGGCCGTTTACAGAAACAAAACACAATTTCATGGAAATATTTATTGCAACAGATACAGCAAGTGTCCAGCTATTTTTCAACATATTCGCCACCGGAATTGAGACATTGGTCATACCGTGGGACCAACTTTTGAATACCTGGG